AGGCCTCGGGTGGGCCTCCGAGTGGAGACTGAGGGCCGGCTCAGTTCCGGGGGTGGGGGGGACATGCCAGGTGATTCCCTGTAAGGGGGCGATGTGTCTGCCCAAGGCCAGCGCAAGATCAGAGGGAGGGGCCCGCAGAGGCCCCTGGGATCTGGGTAAGGCGAGGAGAGGGAAGTGGGGCTGGGGTGCCCTTCAAAGGTAAAGCCGACAGGACTTGCTAAATAGCCTGGATCTGGGGATCGAAGGGAACCCACAGATTTGGGCAAAAGGAGCGAGGGGCCTGGCGCCATTCTCCCCAGCAGGGAGATTAGAGGAGCGGGTGTGAGGAGGAGGAGCAAGCCCGGCCCATGTCTGATTCCCCGAACCTCAGTCACCCCCACCCCGGCCGCACAGAAGGGAGGAAGCCGCGTGCGGAACTGCAGCCTGGCCCGTGGGTTCCAGTCCTGCCGCCAGGGACGCCAAAATAAACCTGTCCCTCCGCCCTCTCTTGCTGTCTTCACAGCACCTGGCATCCGTGAAGCAGTCTACCCACCATGTGCCCTTCCCTGTGAGCGTGGGCATCAGGGGAGGGGAGGCTGCAGGGAGGCCCAGGCCTGGCAGGAGGGACGGAGCAGTGGGCCGGGCAGCCTGCTGACCGGAGGCACTTCTCTTTTGTGCCCAGGGGACGTCTTCCAGAAGCCCTATGTGTCTGGGGAGGCGGACTCGGCCTCCCGGGAGCTGACGGGCTCCGAGGATTACCTGCTGCTCGCTTGTGATGGCTTCTTCGATGTTGTCCCCCACCAGGAAGTGGCCGGCCTTGTCTGGAGCTGTCTGGTCAGGCAGGGCAGTGGGCTCCATGTTGCTGAGGAGCTGGTGGCTGCAGCCCGGGAGCGGGGCTCCCGCGACAATATCACAGTCGTGGTGGTCTTCCTCAGGGACCCCCGAGACCTGCTGGAGGGCGGGGCCCAGGGGGCAGGGGACCTGCCCTCTGGCCTCTCAGAGCTGGAGACCAACACGCCAGAGAGAAGCTAAGAGGCCTAGGCCCCCTGCCCCCACCCTGTGACGCCCTCCAGATGCCTTAGGACCTGACAGGTGGCAG